TAGTGCAAAACAATCATCATTTAACAGAAAGTATAATATATCAATCCGCTATTAGCATAACCTGCTTGGCAAGGATTTCACATCATGGCAACCTCACCGTCTTCCTCAGTTTCCTAACAGAGGAACAGAGTTGGCAGCATTGCGTCAGCTGTAAAACTGTCCAATTAATTTTCATACACACTTTTTCTGACGACTGCGAACACAGGATGACCTTCAGTTAGATTCCTGTCTGAACACGAATTCTGTTCCCAGGTTTAGCTATGGTGTCGGCTCATCCCAGTAACCCAAACTAGAACTTCTTAACATACGTGTGGATGCATGCAGCTGGACTGAGATGCACCCTTTTTTTTTTTTCAATTGGTGTTACAAAGGAGGATCAATTCTCCTTCGTAATATTTCTTGAACATGTTCCCAATTTTGTAATATTTATGTCAAGGTTTCCATTTCTTCCACATAACCTGATCCAATTCCTTTTGAACTTACGAAGTTTTCACCCATACTCAGGTAAATTAGAGTTATTCTGGCAAAGGCCAGGGAATTATAAGAGATACTAATCAGCTTGTATTAGGTGTTGTCCAATACAGATGCTTCCTTCAGTTTGCAACACCTGAAGTGGCCAACTTCCTCGGTGACCCAAATCCTGTGCTCCACTGAGCTGGGACAAAGAACACGCATTTTCATTAGAAAAGCAAGCCTACTTAGGCAGCCCTCTCTGGGCTCGAATGGATGTTGTACATCCCTTCAACTCCCAGTTCTCTTTTGGTATTTATTTATTTGTTGGTTTTTTATTTTTTTAACTTCAGGGGTAGAGAAGCAAAGCAAGAGCCATGCACCAGAAATGCTCTAAAAGCAGAAGTGAGAGAATCTGCTGGTTGAAGAGAACGGCAGGGATGGATCTTTCTACTACTCCACGCCTTGCAGCCTGCTACGCTCGGTTCTCAAGAGCACAGAGCTGGTTTAAAGGACTAGTTTAAGTCCAATACGGCTAGATTACTCCACTGCCCTCGTAATGATGTAGCTCGGTGCTACAAGTCAGATGGCGGACTGCAAGCCAGAGAGGGCAAAGGAGATTAAGCAGCCGTCAGGCAGTGCCCAACTTTCCATGCAGCAGCTCCTGGTCAGGCAATCTGCAGCCAGCTGCTTTAAATGGAAGATCTACATGGGGAAGAGGAAACAGAACAGCTTTCCATTTTCTGATCAGCTCCATCCAATTCACAGGCACAGACTATTGCTGGAAGACACTTGACACAGTCTAGAACGGTCTGAGGAAACAACCAACAGCAGCTTTTCCTTCTTTTGTTCTTGACAATAGAAATAATGGGTTGAAAATGCCATTTTCTGATAACATAATGTATTGCGTAACTATAAAACAATACAGCCTGTACCCAAATGCTGTACTATGCCAAAAGATATCGTTTTGTGTTTTGCAAAATAATGTTTTCCTCTCGCTGTAGGGCAAAAATTGACTTCCAGCAACTTGCCAATCCACAAATCTGCCTTCAGTTGAGACGGGCTGGGGCGAGTGGGGAGAACCACGTGCAGGCACAAAGATCTCTCCATTTCTGGGGTCCGCGGAAGCCAGTCTCTACTCTGAAAAGGATGAAGGAAAACCTGGCATCGATGGCTCTGCGCCGAACCCCAGCAGCGTCGTTGATCGACACCAAGAGATCTGACTCACATGCCGTTTCTGAAGAAGGGAACTCGATCTTCAAACCCCAAGTCAAATCCCCAGCCCGTTCTCATCGTGGCAAGAGAGGTATGAAACCAGCTTCCCCATCAAACTCGGAGAGAATCCAAGGAGTAAGGAACTGAAAGACCCTGAAGTCAAGCCAGCATCCAAACAGGAAGCTTTGCAAGCGCCTAGCACAGGCATCGGCCATTTGAGAACAAAGTGAAGATGCGTCACGTGAAAAAACGAGTTCCTCACAGCAACAAAATGGAGGCCAGAATAATTTGGGGCAAACGTCTATCCAGTAATCTAAGGCAGGCTGTCCAATTTGTAAGCGGCCAAGGGAACCATGAGCCGCATCAGTGGGGACCGTAAACCCCAGAGCCCAGGCTAGTGTGAACCACAGGCCCCCAACCACCACTGCGCTGCACTCACGGCAGCCACTGCACCATAGAGGCAGGTGGTACCTCCCCCCCCCGCCATGTGCCTCCACATCAGCCCCACGGGCTGCCCAAGCACTGTTGGCTGCACCAGGGTGGGAGCAGTTAGTCCAAAGCTGAGGGAGGGGGAGTAGGGGTGCTCCGCTAGAGATTTCTTGGGCTGATACCGATGGCCGATTTTTAACAAGCCATATTGGCCAAAACCAATCCGACTGCCCATATGTGGCCCAGCAGCTTGGAGAACAGCGCCTGACTAGTAAGTCGGTTGTGGGGGAATGGGCGTGGGGGCAGACCGAGGCCCCTGCAGTGAGTGGGACTGGGGCAGGTACTGCACAGCTGGGGTGGGGCATGGGACAGAGCCACGGCTCGTCCAGGGGGGCGTGGGGAGGAGGGGGCAGCTCCCACTGCTGCACACACCCCGGGAAGGCATGGGGGAGCGGTGCCCCCAGATCTGTGTGCGGGACAAGGGTGGGCTGCTGCTGGGGGTTGCACCAGGCTCTTCCCAGCCCAGCCCAGCCCCTCTGCCGGGAAGAGCCCAGCACAGCCCCCAGCCCCAGCTCACCCTCGCCCTGTGCACATATCTGGGGACACATGCCCCCATGCCCTCCCGGGGTGTGTGCAGTGGCGGAAGCCACCCCCTACTCCCCACGGCTCTGTCCCACTCCCTGCCCCGGCTGTGCAATGCCTGCCCCAGACCCACTCCCTCCCTCACTGTGGGAGACTCAGTCTGCTTCCCCGCCCCCACGCCCCTTCCTTCCCCAACACCCCTTCCTCCACAATAGACTTACCAGCCGGATGCTGCTCTCCATGCTGCCAGGCTGTGCTCCTGGTTGCCTGCATGCTGCAGTGCGCTGCGGCTGTGCATGCATCTGGCATTTATCAGTGACATTATCAGCCCAAAAAAAGCAGATTGCCAATAATGACAATTTTCCTTATATCGGTGCCAGTACAATATGGGAGCCTAGAAACCCCAGCTGCAGTAGCAGTCGGAGTGATAGGGAGAGTGGTGGCTGGGTAGGAGCCTAGGAGCTGCACATTAAGTCCTCATGGTCCGCATACAGTCCAGAAACTACCAGCTGGTCAGCCCTGTTGCGAGATGTTAACTAAAAACCAGCATATCCAATAATGTAGAATATGGTGGAGATGTTAATAGCACAGCCTTCTCGTATCCTATAGTGAGAGGCACAGCAACGGTCAAGGAGGTTTACATCTGTAGGTTTCAGATTACTAAAAAGTGGGTTTTTCTTACTAGAATATGCAGTAATTATTTTTCCTCATCTTTATAAAAAGATTTTTTCCCTAAACCATCTTTGTGATGTCCGCAGAGAGTGTTGCTACAGACTAGAATTACTGTTTACTTTCCACTACAAGAAGAAACCAAAAGCACTGGTTCTTGCACGCATGCATCGAGGAGCTCCTCCCCTCCCAGAAGAGGAGAGAGGAAAAGTACTCTCAGGATTAGAGGCATAATGGAGGAAAAGTACCGAATACATGCGATCTAACCATACCCCTCAGTGCTAAATAATTCATTTCTAAAGCACTTGGCATGATTTTAAGCTGTACCCATTATGCTCACCCATTTCATTGTGAAAGTTCACACAAGGAGAAAACTCCCTGCCATGTATAAACTGCTTGAGCAGTAAGACATGACAAGGCATGAATTATGATCTCTTAATTTAGGTTTGGTTTATTAGGCATGAGGCTGACAGTAGAGTGCTCTTCACCACAACAGGGAATGAATGTATACCATAATTCATGTGCTAGAGTGTCTTACTGAAATTACAGCATTATACTGTTACTTTTAAAAGTATTTATAATACTAAGTGATGAGACACATTCTGAGCAGCTAATTATCCGGCATTAGAGTCACTGCCTGGAATTTCTATGAACCAATTAAGAGACTCCAGACTAAAGCAAAGCCAATATCGCCCTCTTTTAGAGAGAAGCTCAACGTTACGCTCAGTGCATTGGAACCAGAGTACACCGATTTCTGCTATTCCAGAAGCTGTTAATCACCTGGTTTCCATTTCATTCTTGTGAGTGCCTCAGTCCATAACAAGTGAAAAACTAAGTATACAAGCTGCTAGACTTGCTGACACACCTCAGTAGCAAATTGTAGAGCAACAGCACCAAGACTGGACACTGTTCACCCAGGCACAGCTGTGTGTATTGGCATAAGCTCTATGGATACAACCTGTTTTGATAAGGAGCAGATTTCATGTTACCAATGTTCCTCCAGGCTTGGAAAGGAGAGCAGAGGCCGTTCAAACTGCAGCTGGAGATAGACATTGCACTTTTCAAGATCAGTTAACAAATTTTGCAAAATGGTTTTGTATTTAACTATAGTATTAAATATCCTAGTGGACTAGGCAAGCATTTTGTAGACAAAGTAAAACACTATAGAAATCAACCTCTAAGTATTAAGTCTGTACGGGACCAAAATGATTATCTAGTTTAACCTGCTGCCTTACACTGACCAAATATGTATTTTTTTTTTGACAGGCCCAAATATTGATTGATGAACTTTTTGACTGAGCCATCTGCTCTGAAGTGCTCACGCTTCCTTATTTTTAATGAGTTCCTCGCCCTAACAATATTTTTCTGCCCAATCCACGCTCCTGTGGGGGCACTCATGTACCCGGAATTGGCGACATTTCTTTGTAGCTTAACAATGTTGAGTCAACTCGCAAATGCTGGTGCATCAGATGCATCTCCTTGCGTGCCATAGAATAAGCTGCTCCACGAAGCAATCATTACACTTACCCAAAAATAACATGGCTCAAAACTCTGCCTGGATGCATCATTAAACAGTGTACACGCTAGTGACTGAAGTCATCCATTATTACTGAACATAAATTCAATATACAGCATTAACAGTATTGCAGCCTTACCTAGACTGGTAGGTTTTATCAGTTCATCCAGTAAGTCGTAAAAAGGTAATTTCTGAAGTTTGATGTCTGGATGGACAGGGTGGAGTGCGGAAGTAAGGTGGGGCAGTTCCAGTTCATGCTTAGGTCCCAGGAGAGAAACAGGAAGCAAGGGTGATGCTGCAGGGTGGCCATCGTAAGTGAGCTGTGGAATGGTAGAGGGTGACAAAGTCGCTGGCATGGAGCTTGAGTGTACGCTGGGGAGAGACAAGTCTGCAGGTGTCATGATTTTCTGAGGGAACCTCCGCCTGTAGAGTTCTTTGATTTTCATTTGCACAGCAGGGCTGCAGCCAGCCTTTAACAAATGCAGAGCTTTTGTGAGCAGTTCGTGTTTGCGTCCGTGCTTGTTCCTCCCCGCGTATCCCAGAAGTACTTGCAGCTCCGAAACTCTAAGGCTCATAACCATTTGCTTGAAGACAAACAAAAATTCATCAGCATTAGTATTTCAGCTAAGGTTAATACTTTTCTGCATCTTAATCCTTCTGAGCATAATCGATTTAGGCCATTATTTCTCCCTCATCCTTGACTTGAAATACAAACTTGAACAAAATCTTATTTTAAGTGCTGGCAGTTATACAGATATAGAAAGTATGGGGAGGGGGCTTGTCATTTTTATAGGTATTGATTTCTAATTTGCTACAGATGATCCAAGGCCTTAACAGCAAGGGAGAAATTTGGACCAAAGGGGATGAAGAATTTTCCTGTGGTGTAGGATAAGTTACCAAATCATTACTCCAAAATTTAATTTTCCTTCTTTCCCACGTACATTCATACCAATATAATTAAAGGCCTCATCATTTTGATTCCAGAAAACACAGCCAGATGTTAGCAAGTATTTAGCAAGCTCTCCAACACATGTGGTACAGCCACCAAGTTCCCAGACACTGCTTGGACTTCTGCCACAGGAAAATTCTGCAAAAGGGGTCTAACAAAGTGCATGAATATGCTAATTACAAAAGAGACAGAGAAAGAGAGAAGCATCTCGTCTCCACAACTCATAGCTCATCAAGTGACAAGCACCAACTGTCACAGAGGGCCATACTTAAAGTAATTTCAAAGTAAATGTTGCAATGCATTCGGCTTAGGCCTTTGAAGGATGCTTTGTCCATGATTGTATTCTTAAGGCTGTTTTACTATGGCCTATCCTCATTTGAGCAAAGTCAAAATATGTCAAAGCAGAAAGGAAAGGTACATTTCTTTTACCTAATGGTTTACGTTCTTTGCAGTCACTGCTCTGTTCTTTCTTCACCCTCTTCCCCATTTCAGCTAGTTAATTTTCAGCATCCTCTTTTGCCCAGCCCCTCTCTCACCCCTGATAAATTGGCAGACACCTTACATGAGAATAATACAGCTGCAACTCCTTTAGCCCTTTTAAGCTACTAGCATAGGCCAAACTTCAAAAAACAGAATACTTACAGTGACTATAAGCACTCTCTGCTTAAACTTGAACCCTTTCTTTAAAAGAAAAATGTTAATTTTACAGCTATACAAAAGTAGATGTCCTTATAGCCTGTACGTGGCGAGACCTCTAAAAGATATACCACCAACTTAGTTCACCTTACAATCCTTTTTCTTAGCCACCCGGAGCAAAGACATGACTTCATGCTGACTTACTCGTTTGGTGTAGGAGCTCTTATATGCGTATGACTTCTAGCTAGGTGGATAAAAAGACAGTGGTCACAGTCAAAGCTTCACATTTGCCAACATTTAGGTTTGGCAAAGCTGGCATTTAAAAATGGGTGACAGAATTGGGAACTAGAAATGGGGTGGCAGAAGTGGGAACTAGTAATGCCAGAGTGTTCCCAGTGTTTTAATTTAAGTATAAATCTACATGTGTTTTGAGGGAAAGGAAGTGTCTACAAGTTTCAAAATGACTTAGAGGGGGTTTATCTTTGAGTTTCATGAAATCTTCAGATGCAGTCTCCAACCTAAATTATGCAATACATACATTTCCCTCATCTCCCTTGCCACACTTGAGGGGGTTTTGGTTTTTTGGCGGAAGTGGCAGGGACCCTGCCTTCATTCATTATTATGGTTGCTGGTCCTTTACCCTCAAATCTTGCTACTCCCCAAGCTGTACTGCTGAATGAAAATGTATGGCTAATTAGATCAGGGGCTGGCAACATTTGGGGGGGGGGGGGGCGCGGCGGCCCTGACACAGGGCCTGAACTAGGACTCAGCAGCCACGACTCCTCAGCTGCGGGATGAAAGCCCTGCGGGACAGAGCCCGCGCTGCCTGACTGCAAGGCATGGGCAGAGCTCGACCTTGCCAATGCCCCGGACAGCCGACTGCAGCACGGTGCAGGGGCAGTTCCATTGCACCAGGACTCAAAGGCTTGTCGACCCCGATCTAGACCGATTTCACTAGCTAGGGAACCAAGGGGAACCCTGCACACAAAACAGGAGAAAAGAAAGAGAAATCTCTATGTGCACATGTGCTTCCCCCTTTGTGTAGCAGAAACCAAAGAGATACAGAAGGAAATTTTCTCTTCGGTCACTGCCGAGGACTGGGCCCCCTTCTACTGAGCACCCAAAGGATTTTCCTGCAAGGGAGACATGGGAAAGTCAAATGCCCGTGATGCAGCACCCCAACAGAGCTCTGGGGTTTGCCGCATGGATCTCGTAAGATTTTATTGAATGTTTCCAGATGTCAACTGATAAATTTCAAGGGGTTATTTATGAGGTGCTGCCGAAACGGCTTGTGCCCGGGCCAAAACAACTGCTATCTTATAAATCAAATATTCGCAGGGTCCAGCGTAAGAACTGCTGTAAAGTCCACACTTCTCCATTTGCTGCATAAATATGCTGGGCAATTATTTGTTTAAACGTTGCACTGCTAGCACTTGCGGTTATGAAAACAGCCCGAAAGATGCAAACTGGGTATAAAAGGGACACTCTGTAGACTTCCCCAATTTTCTAAGCCTTCTGAAACAATCCGTCATCCTAATGTGTAAACAACTTTGTCGTCATAAACAGTTAACTCTGAAACCTAAAGTGACAGATTTAATCAAGACTCCGATTTACCAGAAACATCAAATCTGCACATTTACCCCAAACACAGCCAACCCCATGTTCCTTAGAGATCAAAAGCTCCAGCTGTCTCTGATCCAGCTCCCCAAACTGCCAACTTCTGTCCTGAGATCTCCCCTGCAATACAGTGTGGTTAGGTCCTGCCAATAGGAGTCTGCAGCACGCAAGACTGGGAGAAAGAATTTAATTTTATTCAAATGCGCACACACTTTACTAATGCATTATTCATTTTCATCTGAATTTCATCAGGTCACCTGCATTATTTAAAGTAAGGAAAAGTTGTCACCGAATTTCCAGCCTGTTACAGCAGAGGTCCAAGTACCTTGCTGCAAAGACCACATGGCCTGGCTATAACCGAGAGGTCTGCTGGACTCTTGTACAGGTGCAACTGGTCCACGCTCTGCCAGACGTAAGGTAATTTTTTGCACGGATTTACTAGGTAAAGAACATGAGATGCTTGAAAGGAAGAGCTTGTGTTGTAAAGAGACAGCAGCATTTCAGCCCCAACATAAAATGGTGACAGAAAGAGAAAGTACCTCTTACATACATCTGAGACATGAATGGACTTGGTTTCAAGCCTTATAACCAAAGGGCTTAATATCCACCATTTAAAGTCAGCGCCTCAGCAACCAGAATCACCCTGAGCTCTGTAGTTTTGCCATGAACCAGCAGATTCAATTCTTGGGTCTCCCCAAGGTTTCTAAAGTGGATAAAGAAATTATATGTTCTAACTGGAAGAATACTCCATGATGCAATCTTTTTACCCTAAAAGTACTCATATGTTGAAAGCGTGGTCAACCGTGTAGGAAGATTCATTAACCGAACCAAGCAGTTCTTCACAATCTCTCTCACCGTGAAACTGGCACTTTAACTCTTTTCTCTTCCTTTAAATAAAAAGAACTAAAAACTGCCCTTATATTTGCAACATTAAGTAGTGAAAGTTAAGGTGTACGTACTACTGTCTATTATAGGAACACCACCAACAGGAAATCTTGTCTATTTAATTGGGGAAAAGAAGTCAACATTTTAGTACGTTCGGGGCCAACTTGGCCATTTCTGCGGTTTCCTCCGTTTTCAATTTTATTTGTGCATGTGTTACTTGTCCTGGCTGTCGCTTAAGAAAGCTACATGAAAACCAGGAGCCAACTAAAGCGTTGTCTGCTTGCAAACGTCTACCAACACAGCATGGAAGTCAGGGGTGTTAAGAGGTGCCACCCCTGCCTGACAGCCATGCTAACAGAAACCCCAGCATAGATGCAGCCATACTAAAACCCATGCATTTTCTAGCACAGCTGGTTTTACCAGGGGACGATGGGGATGGCGTGCCAGACTAAGTAGCATTGGAAAAGCCAGGATTGTACTGGTGAAAACTGTAGCTGTGCTAGGGGTAGAAACACGTCCCCTGATGTCTCATTTGTGCTGCCATAAAATACTTTATGGTGGCAGAAGCTGAGAGCAAGCAGAGGTCCTACACTTTGTACCACCACATCAAAGGAATGAAGAGTGGTGCAACAGAAGGTAGCCATAGGCCACTACTCTAATGTGGCACGCAAGGGGAAGAGCTAGATTTGGGGCTCCTGAGGCAGCTCTCGGAGACCATAAAAACTAGGGAGGCGGTAGTCATGGGAGACCTAAACTACCCAGACATCTGCTGGGAGACGCAGACAGCAAAGTCCCACCGTTAACGCAGGTTCCTATCCCGTGTACAGGACCTCCACCTGACGCAGGAGGTACATGGTCCCACTGCGGGGAATGCCATACTGGATCTGGTATTGGCAACGGGGGATGACATGGTAGGGGACCTACAGAACAGCGGTCACCTGGGGGACAGCGATCACCAAATAACAGAATTCATCATAAGACGTCGAGTGGGTAAGGTAACTAGTAGGGTGAAAGTGCTAGACTTTAGGAAAGCTGATTTCAATGAACTCAGGCGATTAGTCAAGGACGCACTGCAGAGTAGGAGGTTTGAAGAGATGGGAGCCCAGGAAGGGTGGCTGTGCCTGAAGGAAACGATCCTTCGGGCACAAAGGGAGACGATCCCGATGCGAGGAAAAAGGGGGAAAGGGGGCAAGAGGCTTCCTTGGCTGACCAGAGAAATGCAGAGCAGCCTACGGGCTAAAAGGAGGGCATATAAAAAGTGGAAACGGGGAGAGATTACTAAAGAGGAGTATACCTCCTCTGCTCGTGCTTGTAGGGAGGCAGTTAGAC